AGAGAGAGAGAGAGAGAGAGAGAGAGAGAGAGAGAGAGGTATGGAACATGGAATCTGACTCAGATTAGAGGAAAGCCTGAGAAAGTTTTGCTGTCTTAATAAATATTTCACAGCCAAAGAAAAAAGAGAAAGGATTATATCTAGGAGAAAGATCATGTGTTCAAAAGCATGTGTTTATAAAGATTTGGAATGAGGCTAACATGTGACAAATGCTATTAATGCAGAGAAATGGAAGGGAATGGCCTGGAGTATTGACCAAGGAGCTTGTTCTTCTGACAGATGTTTGTATAAATCTCAGTACATTGCTGGTTGTGACACAGAATAGGTACTTATCTCTGCTAGTGTAAATTTGAGTTATTATACTCTTTTTAGAAAGCAATTTGTGTATATGTAAACTTTCAAAATTAAAAATACACTTACTTTTGACTAAGGAAAATCAAATTTTTGACACTATGGAGATTATATCCTCATCCTAAAAAATGAATTTAATCTTTATAGTTTTCAAAATTTTAATGACTTAGAACATAATGAATGCAATGCAATACTATTTCTTTAAATACATGCTTAAGTATTTAAGTAGAAGTGGAAACAGTGGGGTTAGGCTCTGAAAGGACTTAAGAAACCCAAGTATCCATGGGATGGTGGCAAAGATGTTTTCAGACTCTAGTTATATTATCCGTAAGGCTTGTGTAGCTGCTGTCCTGATGTTGTTTTTGGAAGCAGGGCTTCCTCTCCCCCTTTTCCTAATGTATATTCATATTTTCAGATACAATCTATTATAACACCTCAGAGCTTAACTTCTACATACAGGTATTGACAATCCCAGATTGTAACTGCAATATGTTCCCATTTATTTATGTGTTACTTTTGTAACTTTCAACATGATTTACATGATATATATTATTCGTGTGTGTGTGTGTGTGTGTGTGTGTATTCAATATTATCTAGGAAGCAAACACTGGTTATAAATCATGTTCTGCTCATCTGGAAATGTACCTATTTTATCTCTATAAGATTAGCCTCAAAAGAGTTGGAGACATTTTTCAAAATTAAATGTACAGATAAGTTTAAAAAATATAGAGCAGACCATGCAACTAGTGAAGTTTCAATCATAAAACTATAATAAAAATTCACTATGATCGCCACCTAGTGGCTGGACAGTATATGTACCTATAACAAATTACGCTCTTGTAATTCAAGAAATTAAAATACTGTACTTGAAATACTTGGGTTTAAATGTTTTTATTTAAATTCAATTATATAATTTTCTTTTTCATTATAGTACTGGTTATGTGTTTCCACAAAAATAAATTTGTTTACTATTCTTGCATAAAATAGTTAAAAAAGAAATGGAAGAATAGTCAAGGAAGAAACCATTGTTATGTTTATTTAGAATGAAAATGGCATGATTTTTTGAAACCAAAATAAATGATAATATCAGAATAACTAGGAAAATTCAAATACCATCAGGCACTCTCTCAACTAGCACAAGGTAAGATAGTGTTTCATAATAGAGTACTTTAGGTGAGGATTACTATACATACACAAAGTCAGATATGTTTTTATTTGTTTAGTTTAGTTGTGTTTGGTTCTTTCTGCAGAACCAATCAGAACCCTTAAGGGTAATATCAAAGTTCAGAAGCAAGTTTTCCACATACAATTTCATGATGTTTTTCTTCACTTCTCTCAACATTAGATAACACATATAACAAAAATTATTCATTACATAAATTTGTGTGTTTTTATTAGGTATGTTTGTAGAACATAACGATCATATTTATTGTGGGGAGTTGGTATATAACACATCTTAATTCTTTTTATGTCCCTTTATCCTTTCCCCCTTCCATCCCTTGGTCCATTTCCCACTTGCAAAAGTTCTATCTTTCTGTTTCCTATTATCTATTTTTTATTTTGCTCTTTTATTTGTTTATACTTTTAGCTTTCTCATATGAAAGAACCATGAACTTGTGTGTCTGATTTATTTCATTTAACATTATGGTATCAAGGTGCATCTATTTTTCTACAAATAATTTAAAGTTATACTTTAAGGCAGAGTATTACTTCATTGTGTATAAATACTACATTTCCTAATTCTTCTGTTAATGAGCTTATAGGCTGATTCCATGCTGTACCTATTATGAATGGTACTGCTATAAATATGAGTATGCATATATCACTGTAGTATGATATCTCTAACTCCTAAAATATATCTGGAAGGAGAGTAGCTGGGTCAAAAGAAATGTCTATATTTAGCTCTTTGAAGAATCTCCATAATGATTTCCATACTGGTTGTACTAGTTTATATTTTCTCTAGCAGTGTATAAGGATTCCTTTTTCCCCACAGCCTTACCAGCATTTGCTGTTATTTAATTTTGTTTTATGATAATCATACTTTCTGGAATAATATAGAATCTCAGTGTTGTTTTAATTTGAATTTTTCTAATTGTCAGGATGTTGAACATATTTTGTTTTTATTTGACCATTTGTACTTCTGAAAAGTGTCTAATCATTTCAGTTACTCATTTTTGACTGGATCTTTTGTTTGAGGGAGTCTAATGTTTGAGTTCTTTATATATTCTAGATATTATTCCTCTATTTGAGGTGTACCTGGCAATTTTTTTCCCTATTCTATAGATTGTCTCTTCACTCTATTGGTTGTGTCTTTACTGTGAGATTTTAAATTTGAAATAATCCCATTTGCTGATTCTTCATGTTATGTCTTGTACAATGGGGTTCCATCCAGAAAGTCCATGCATATGCCTGTAACTTATGTATGTTATCTTCCAGCAGGTGAAGTGTTTCTGTTTTACTATTTGATCTCTAATCCATTTTGGTTTTAGTTAGGTACAGAGTGAGAAATATAGGTCTAGCTTCAGTCTTCTTTATATATATAAAATCAGGTTTCCTAACAGCATTTCCTAAAGTGGCTAGTTTTCCTCCAACTCATGTTTTGAACCTTTTTGTAAGATGGCTGAATGTGTCTGGGGTTGTTTCAGTATCCTCTATTTTGTTCCATTGATCCATGTTTGTTGCAGTGATCCACATTTCTTCCATTGTTTTCGTGCCAGTGCTGTGCTGGTTTTGTTTGTTTGTTTGTTTGCTTTCTGTAGCTTTGTTATATAACTTGATATCTGGGATTGTGATACCTCTTGCTTTGTTCTTTTTGCCTAGGATTCTTTTTTGGTATTCTGGATCTCTCCTTATTCCATATGAATTTTAAAATTATTTTCTCTCTTCTGTGAGAAATGCTGTTGATATTTGAT